ATGCACTTCAGCCTGGGCAACGCAGTGAGACTTTGCCTCAGAAAAAAAAAAAAAAAAAAAAAAAAAAAAAAAAAAGAGGCAAACTATTGTAATAGAAAAAAATTTCCTGGATTGGGAGATAAGGTGTCAAAGATGATGATGATGATGGCCAGGCACTCTGACAAGTACTGAGCATATTTTATTCTCTGCATTTATGCAAGAGAAAATCAGGGTTCAGAGATCAGCTTGCCTGAGGCCACATAGCCAGTAAGTAACAAAGACAGTATCAAAGCCAGGTTTCAGACAGACTTCAAGTTTTATGCTGTTGCTCCCTAGAGCAACAACTGTCTTGGCTTCAAATTTTCATTGCCATGAGGAGTTTTGTTGGAGGTCTGTGGCCGACTGCTAGTTACCTACCCAATATCCATCCTCACCTTCTTCTTTAGTAAGTAACAGGATCACTATTTTATTCAGGCAGCAGCGTGCCCAGCTAAAAGACTGCAACTCCCCAGCCATGATGTAAGCAGAAGTTGCTGAATGAGCCCATGTGTCCTGCAACCCCCACTCCTGCCTCCTGTCTGGAATATGGACATGATGGCTTCAGCATACATAAATGTAGACTTGTAGCCTGATCTTTGAGTATAGTCAATAGCACAGGGAACATATTAGAAGAAAACAGACCATAAGCCTCCTCAGTTTTTTTTTAAATAAACTTTTAATTTTGAAATAATTTTAGATTTACAGAAAAGTGGCAAAGATACAGTACAAAGAATTACCATACCTTGAAAACATTATGCTAAATGAAAGAATCCGGTCTTCTTATTACTCTCACTAACGCCCACATACTGTGTGATTCCATTTACGTGAAATATCCCAGACAGGCAAATCCAGAGAGACAGAAAATGGATTAGTGGTTTGCCAGGGGCTGGGGAGAAGGGAAAGTGGAGAGTGCTTAATGAGCACAGGGCTCCCTTTTGGGGTCACAAAAATGTTCTGGACTTGGACAGTGGTGATTGTTGCATAACACTGTGAATACACTGATTCCACTGAATTACTGAATTGGACACCAAGAAATCAATGATGGAATGACACTGTAACTAAAGATTTCTTCACTCTGTACATTTCACATTCTCCTCTTTTCTGAAAAGGTGTCTTTATTGCAATTACCCTTTGTTTCCCCAACTGTTATATACAGGGTGTGTTGGAGGCAGATCACTTGTCTTTTTCTTTTTCTTTTTTTATTTTTTTGAGACAGCATCTTACTGTGTCACCCAGGCTCAAGTGCAGTGGTGTGATTTTGGCTCACTGCAGCCTCAACCTCCTGGGCGCCAAATTTTTTTTTTTTTTTTTTTTTAGAGACAGGATCTTGCCATGTTGGAGAGGCTGGTCGCAAACTTCTGAGCTCAAGGGATCTGCCTGTCTCAGCCTCCCAAAGTTCTGGGATTACCAGTGTGAGCCACCACATCCAGCCTTGTCTTTTAGTTTCTAAAATCACAAAGGGTCACACCCAGTCTTTACAAGATGGTAAGGGCTGCATCTAGAAATCATGGAATTTTGCTGAATACTATCACTGGAGGAAACCTTGGGAAAAGGGTGAGTATATTCTACGTATGGGAAGAGGGATGTTTAGAAGTTGGATCACCAAAGTAACAGTCTATGCCAGAGATCACTAGTTGTGTACTCACTACCCATGCTTCTGTTTTTGCAATTACAGGTCCCTTATTTAATTTGGAATAGCAATGTACCTAACTAAAAGACTTCATTTCCCATCTTCCCTGATAGCTAGTTCTGGCCAATGAGATGTAAGCAGATATTCTTAGGCAGAGCTTCCTATAAAGCTCTTTGAGATAGGAGCAAACAGCTGGTTCATGCCCTTTTCCTCCCACTCCCTTCCTTCTGTTTCCTGCTAGAAAGCAGATTGCTGGCTGGAATAAGGACAGAAGCCATGCACCAAGGATAGCAGTGCTTGGGTCCCTGATGACTTTGTGAAGTCATTACATCAGCCCTAAACTGCTATGTCTGGACTTATTTTATGAGAGAGAATAAGCAATTAATATATTTAAGCCACTATAACTTGAGTCTGTGTTGCCAACAATTAGCCTAATCCTAAATGATATAAGGTTATAAATTGCTTGGGGTTAACCTCCAGTATGCATGAAATTTTCTTTCTTTTGTTTTCTTTCTTTTTTTTGAGATGGAGTCTCCCTTTTTGCCCAGGCTGGACTGCAGTGGTGCGATTGAACCCGTTTGAATACCAGGTTCAAGCAATTCTCCTGCCTCTGCCTCTTGAGTAGCTGGGATTACAGGTGCTCACTACAACGCCTGGCTAATTTTTGTATTTTTAGTAGAGACAGGATTTCACCATATTGGTCAGGCTGGTCTCCTGACTTCAAGTGATCCACCTGCCTTGGCCTCCCAAAGTGCTGGGATTACAGGTGTGAGCTACCACACCTGGCCATGATGGGAAATTTTCCAAGCTCACAGGGAACATTCAGGAACTGTCAATAATGTTATTTCCATATTATAGAATAGGCTATGAATGGAGAGACCACAAGATGAGGTGACTTAGTCAATATTTTATATTTGAGCTCCCATTAATTCAGTAATAATCCTAGCATAGAGATTTGCCAATTCCCAAATGTATTTAATATCCTTTCCATATTTTATTCTTCTGACTAATTAATAATTGTGATGCTTACAGGAGATAGTAGATTTTTGACAATTTTTTTCTAGCTGAGAATAAATGCAAAATGTTCCTTTAGCATTTGCCAGTGTTCCTGAGATGATCTCAAAACCCCAGGTTTAAATATTTAAATTTTTATCTCGTATTTTGTGATTATATGACAATGAGTTGCATGAACAAAATATCAAAGTCAACTTTGTTTCTCTTTTAAAATTATTATAATTACTTTTAGGTCTTAGTGGCTATGATTTTCATCTTTTCATATTTTACATTCCACAAGACATTGTATTAACAGACTTTTTAAAATCCACATCATAAACCAGAATTGGGGTAACAGAGAGGCTAGGAATGGGAGTACTGGGTATTTTCTGTTTCTGTTGTAGAATTTAGATGTTCCTGCCAGCAAGGAAGGAGACCTTGGGAAGGCAGCCAATGAGGTTTGCCACAGGGGTCTTGTAGCTATCGTCACCCCATGCGCCTTGCATGTTTCCTAAGGCCAATAAGCTAAACTGAGAAGGATGTGAATGTCACATGGGGTGGAAGGACGAGGAGAGGGTTAAAAGACAAATGGCTGGTATAGAATGGCAATCTGATGCACATGTAATATGCCAGAGTCAGGAAAACTGTAAACTATCCTTAATCCACAAAGCTATTCAAGTCAGCATGACAAAACTTTGAAGTAGATCAGATGAATGCTGGTATTCAACATTCAGCTGATTTCCCTCAAAAATCTTCAATGGATCTTTTTCTTACTGAAAAAGAAGCCTCACACATATTGAAAGTGATCTTTTTGTTGGAATATTCCCTCTTAATGGTTTGACTAGCTTTACCTCATATTTATTTGTTCATAATTGTTATTCAAGAGCTCTCTTGTGCTGCTGTAGGTTCTGGGTCATTAGATGGTAATTCATGGTTAGAAGTCCAGAAACTAATGGATAGAGCATTGTTTACCCTAGAAGATATGATAATCCCTCATTTGCATTTATTAATGAGGAGCCTCGCCCAACCTTTACAGAATACAAAGAAAGATGACATGCCATATTTGGGTTCCATTCAATAGAATTATACCTTCCTAGCAGCCTCCCAAGAGCTATTTTCAGCATTTTCCTTAGAACAAAACAGTTAATGAATAGCAAAGCAAAAGAGAAGGTTGACTGGTCATTGCATGTTGTAAAGCGTAGACAAACATCTTTTGTTTTGCTGTTGTTAATAAAAAACATGATAATGTACATCTTAATCAAATTTAAAATGTGGGCATTTGAATCTTTTTAATTAGAAGGACTGGTGCATAGTGCCACCTTTAGTCAAATCTAGAGTTCTCGTTTCAGGGTTAAGTAATAAATGTGGGCATTATTACCTTTTACAATACACCATTGATAGAACACCAACTTTAAAGCCAATTAAAGGTTGGCAATCTTCCTACCATTGGCAAAATAACACTTGTTAACAGTTCCCCTTGTGACACGTTTCAGCATAATCACTGATTTCTGGAAACCTTATTTAGCACTTACGGATATTTTGAAATCTCTAATGAATTTCTTTTTATAGACATTTTTACGTTTTACTCTAATTTTTTAAAGGTGTTCAGGTAGTTTAATTTTATACACTCAGATGGTGCATGTACCCAGATATTTATATGTGAAAGACAAAATGCAGAATATGTAGAACTATACTCTATAAATAATAAATAGTTTGCTCATAATACCCAGATTTTAGCAGTTCCATTTTTGAAACCTAATTGTGCCCAAATTCATTCAGAAAAATCTCACATTCGAACCTAAATATGCAGAAATTGTTCTGTTTAATAAACTATAAGTTATCGTAATTTAAAAACAGGTTAAAAAACTGGTTGGAATTAGTAAATTCTTTCAGTTATTTACTTGAAGTAAAAATGTTGTGGAGGCTAGTAAAGCCTTTTTTCATTTCATATGGAAATAATTTGATAAGCTTGGCAAAGAGGTGAGAAACATAAAAATGAGCTAAGAATATTGAAGTTATTTCAGCTTTGAGTTACTAACACCAAACAGAGAACTAGTTTTCACCAATTAAAGAACAGCTTGATTATATGCCATGCAAAATGCTAATGCAAAAATGGACAACAGCTAGTTTTCATTAAAATTTCATGACCTGGCATGCTTCAAGTAGATAACATTAATGCAAGATGGTTCAATGCATCCAGATATTGGCAGTAGATTGATTTAGGTAGACATTAATGATCTTTTAAAAAAATCAGCAACCTTTAGAAGCTGCTTACATCACTTTTGCTTTATGTAATGTAGTCACACATTAATTAGCAATACTGCACAGGAACAGAAAATCGTAATTTAGGCCAGGCGTGGTGGCTTATGCCTGAAATCCCAGCACTTTGGGAGGCCAAGGCAGGCAGATCGCTTGAGGTCAGGAGTTCGAGACCAGCCTGGCCAATATGGCAAAACCCCATCTCTACTAAAAATACAAAAAAATTAGCTGCATGTGGTGGCGTGTGCCTGTAGTCCCAGCTACTCAGGAGGCTGAGGCATGAGAATCGCTTGAACCCAGGAAACAGTGGAAAACAAAAGAAGCTGGGCTACAGAGGAAGACTAAAGAGAAAGAAAGGAAGAAAGAGAAAGAAAAGAAAAGGAAGGAAGGAGGGAAGGAAGGAAGGAAGGAAGAAAATAATAATTTCACATGTCTTTATCTTTGGCCATCTATTCCTTGACCCACACAGTGTTTATCTTAGGACTAAATATCATTATAAATGTTCAATTGCCCTCCTTTTTAAAAAGAACTCAACTGTTACAAGCTTAATTAAATACATATTATTTGGTTTGATTCAGTAAACAGAAAACTCTTCCAAAGAAGTGAACTTGTTATTTAGGGATATGTTTTTGTTTGTTTGTTTGTTTGTTTTCTCTTCTTTTTTTAGAGACGAGGTTTCACCATGTTGGTCAGGCTGGTCTTGAACTCCCGACCTCAGGTGATCTGCCCGCCTTGGCCTCCAAAGTGCTTGGATTACAGGTGTGAGTCACCACGCCTGGCCAGGGATATTTTTTTAAAAAAATTTAGAGCAAGACACAATTGAAAAGTTTGCAAATAATGTTGATAATGGTGAGAAATCAGATACAACCTATGTAAATAAAAACTGAGGTTTGCTTAAATAATTTCTTTCGGTTGGTATGGCAGGGACTGTTAGTTGCCTACTCAGCTCCACTCACCTTTATTTCTTAGTAATGGCCTTATTACTTGCTGGGTGGCCATGCATCTACCCAGCAAGAAGACTACATTTTCCAGCTCTCCTTTGAATTAAGTGCAGTCCCATGACTAAGTTCTGGCTAATGACATGGAAGCAGAGTTGGGCTTTTGCGAAGGCTCCCTCCAGGGAGCTGATTCAGCCCAAAGGGAAGACTCCTTTGTACCCCTTTTGCTGATATTGAACTTCAACAGTCAGCTTGGACCATGAAGTGACCTTGAGGTTGGAGACCCCCATATGAAGGAGGAAAAAGATAAAAGAAGACCAAATCCTGGAAGATTTGGAGTCTGCAGTCATATAAGGACCTGTGCTCAGAAGGGCCTCACAAGTGGTTAAATGCTCTGTTATTGCTATCCTGACATTTTTAAAACTGTCATCTTTGATGTTGTATTTTTTGGTTTGGTTTTGTTTTTTGAACCTGGGTTTCCCTCTATTGCCCAGGCTGCAGTGCGGTCTCACTGTAACTTCTGCCTCTTGAGCTCAAGTGATTCTCCCTCCTCAGTCTCCAAAGTAGCTGGGACTACAGGCATGGACCTCCACGTCTGGCTAATTTTTTTCTTTTTTAATTTCTTGTAGAGACACGGTTTTGCCACATTGCCCAGGCTGTTCTCAAACACCTGAACTCAAGTGACCTGCCTGCCTTGGCCTCCCAAAGTGCTGTGATTACATGCATGAGCCACTGCGCCCAGCCTGCGGTTTCACCTTCATTTCTTAGTAACAGCCTTATTTCTTGCTGGATGACTATGTATCCAGCGATGCATTGTATCATGTGCTTTCTAAGTAAAGTCTAGTAGAACAAGGAAGCATGAGTGTGAGAAGAGGAGTTACACACAATCAGCACGTCTGCTGTTTCTTGTTGCCCTATCTGCACGTAGCCCCATGAGCTCTGAATTCCAGAAGCCCCACAAGGAGCGGGAGTTCAAAGAGACTCACAGTGTACAAGGAAAATGTGCTAGATCTGTGACTAATTAATTAGGGTACTGATGGCCCCAAGAGGCCACACTTTCCATCTGAACTGGAACTTGCTATGCAGAAAGAAGACAGTGGCATTTCTAGGAACATAAACAATCAGGGAATCCTGTTGTGTCATTTCTAATTTATGCTACTTCCCTGTAGTAGTCAACAACTTACCCTGAAAATAATAACATAGAAGGAAAGGGAAAGATAGGCAGCCTATAGTGCCTTTTCGTTTCAGTCCTTCCTTACTTATAAGAAGCCAAAGGTAGTGTGTTGGTATAAGGTGCTTGTATCAAGAAGTGAAATAAAAACGGTTGATTTCATTTTATGCAACATTTTCATTATTCTAGTTAAGAACAAAGTATAAATGCACACATATGCTATGAAATATGAATTATGTGATTTTAGTGATCTCATGTACATACATTAAATGTTCTTACATTTGCATTTAAAACTAGTATTGCTTAATATAAAGATGAAGGGTAAAATTCATGCTATCAATATAAGTTTTTGTTGTTGTTGTTACTTAGAACGACATTAAATAAGATATTTTAGCCCTTTTCCGGTTAGCGTGGTAGGAGAAGCCACGAGCAGCAGTCTCTCGCGACACCCTGTACGAGGCGGTGCGGGAAGTCCTGCACGGGAACCAGCGCAAGCGCCGCAAGTTCCAGGAGACGGTGGAGTTGCAGATCAGTTTGAAGAACTATGACCCCCAGAAGGACAAGCGTTTCTCGGGCACCGTCAGGCTTAAGTCCACTCCTCGCCCCAAGTTCTCTGTGTGTGTCCTGGGGGACCAGCAGCACTGTGACGAGGCCAAGGCCGTGGATATCCCCCACATGGACATCGAGGCGCTGAAAAAACTCAACAAGAATAAAAAACTGGTCAAGAAGCTGGCCAAGAAGTATGATGCATTTTTGGCCTCAGAGTCTCTGATCAAGCAGATTCCACGAATCCTCCGGCCCAGGCCTAAATAAGGCGGGAAAGTTCCCCTCCCTGCTCACACACAATGAAAACATGGTGGCCAAAGTGGATGAGGTGAAGTCCACGATCAAGTTCCAAATGAAGAAGGTGTTATGTCTGGCTGTGGCTGTTGGTCACGTGAAGATGACAGACGATGAGCTTGTGTATAACATTCACCTGGCTGTCAATTTCTTGGTGTCGTTGCTCAAGAAAAACTGGCAGAATGTCCGGGCCTTATATATCAAGAGCACCATGGGCAAGCCCCAGCGCCTATATTAAGGCACATTTGAATAAATTCTATTACCAGTAAAAAAAAAAAAAAAAGATATTTTAAAAAACACCATGGCAAGTCCAGAGAGATGTCTCAGTAGAAAGGAGAAATTTTTATATTTCTGCACTCTTTTTATTTGTTTGTTTGAGATGGAGTCTCACTCTGTTACCCAGGCTGGAGTGTAATGGCGCAATCTCAGCTCACTGCAACCTCCACCTCCTGGATCAAGCGATTCTCCCACCTCAGCCTCCCAAGTAGCTGAGATTACAGGCACCCGCCATCATGCCCAGCTAATTTTTGTATTTTTGTGGAGACAGGCTTTCACCATGTTGGTCAGGCTGGTCTTGAACTCCTGACCTCAGGTGATCCACCTGCCTTGGCCTCCCAAAGTGCTGGGATTACAGGCATGAGTGACTGCACCCAGCCTATATTTTAGTACTCTTAATGAAATATTTTTCTAATTTTTGAACAGGGGGCTCCACATTTTCATTTTGCATTGGGCCCCACAATTGCATAGCTAGCTTTGACATCAAGGAATCACCACACCATCCCTGAACTGCCGGCTTTTGTGTTTAATTTTGTCACCGTTTCATTTTGTCAAATATAATCCTTGGCTTTGTAGTGTATAGTATTTTGATTTTTTGGAAAACTTTTGTTGGGTTTCAAAAACAGTGGGGTATGGCATTTTTTTAAATTTTTGTTTTAAATATACAAACAAACACTTAGCACACATAGGAAAAAAGGCTAAAAATAATTATACCAAAATACTAATGTTCATAATGTTTATCTCTAAGAGTTGGAATTATTGGTGCTATCTATTTTCTTTATGTTTGTATAGTTTTCTGTGTTGTTCAGTATTTCTTAAATGAATATTTAATATTTTTATAGTTACATGAAATTTAGAAAATTTACAAATGAATCCTGAATCGGTATGAAAGTTACTATTGAATCTAGAAACTATGTGAAATTTAGTTGTGTAATTTTTTTTCAGACTTTCCTTAATTTGGGGATTTTCAAACTATAAAAACTATACAGGCTAGTTGTAACAACCGAGATTATACAAAGTTATATTTTTAAAAAACAATTTTTCCTGGCACTGTGGCACATGCCTGTGGTCCCAGCTATTCAGTAGCCTGAAGTAGGAGGATTATTTGAGCCTAGAGGTTCCAGTTAGCTTGGAGAACACAGCCAGACCCTGTCTCTTTAAAAAAGCCAAAAAACTGTTTTATCTCTACATTCTGTCTCTGCCATCTTAGGCTAACATGTTAAAAGACCAACATGTATCATTTCACAAATTATAAAATATAATCTAGCCTATATAATTTGCTCATCTCACACACACACACAGACACACACACACACACACATACACACATTGATTTTTGAGTTTGTTTCTGTGAAATAGAATTATATTATAAACATGAATCCATAGTTCACTATTTTTTACTTAATATATCACAAACTTCTCTACAAGAAAATATATAAATTTATCAAGTTTCTTATTTCTCCATTTGTACATAGAGACATATTTTATTTGTTTATTTTATTTCATGTTATTTTATTTTTTGAGGTGGAGTCTCAGTGTGTCGCCCAGGCTGGAGTGCAGTGGCGCAATCTCGGGTCACTGCAATCTCTGCCTCCTGGGTTCAAGCAATTCCCTGCCTCAGCTGCCCAAGTAGCTGGGATTACAGGCACCCGCCACCATTCCCAACTAATTTTTGTATTTTTAGTAGAGACAGGGTTTCACCATCTTGACCAGGCTGGTCTTGAACTCCTGACCTTGTGATCCACCCACCTTGGCCTCCCAAAGCGCTGGGATTACAGGCATGAGCGACCTCGCCCAGCCCATAGAGACGTATTTTAAATCCCATTTTAAACTTCTCACTTTGGAACTTGGAGGTATCTTTTGACAAAGATGCTTTGCTTGACCAAACTTTAGTCAGGCTCCTGAACCTTCTCCTAGGCCCATCTATGCACTTCCTTATAAAATCCAGTTTTGGTAAGAGCCCTGCTAAGTCAGTTTAGCAAGAACTCCCCACCCTGCATATCCTATCACCCTTGATAGCTTGATCAGGTTCCTCAAACTCCACCATCCCACAGGAGATGTCTGATCACCCTGGCTGGTCTTCAGCAAGAATCCTGTTAGGTCAATTTCACCAGAATCCCCCTTACCCTTGATGTTTCCTCTTGGTAATTTTCTATCCACTGACCCCCACCCTGCTTCTTGGCTGTAAATTCCCACTTGCCTATGTTGTATTCAGAGTTGAGCCCAATCTCTCCTCCACTACAAAATCCCCTTGCCATGGCTCTTACTTGTATTGCAGTGTTCCTGAATAAAGTCTTCTTTATCATGCTTTAACAAGCATCATTATATAATTTTTTTCTTTAACACTTTTAAGTATACATTTATTAAACATTCTGTCTATGATGCTGTGGAGGGCAGAGGGTGGGTTTTTTTATGGGTTGGATGTTGCTTCCAAGTAAATTCATTCTGCCATCTTGATCAGAGTATATGGAAGGGAATGCTTTATATTTGTGTTTCCAGACAAGACATATTTCCCACTCATATGTTTTCTCCTTGCCTGCCCTTTCTTACGCTGTATTGCATCCTATATCATGCTAAAATGTTGAGTCAGTCCTCTGGTCTGCAGTATGCTTTTTGGTACATCATTCTCCTATTTTCTTGATGGAAAGTAGGTTTGGTACCTTAAAGAAGTAAGTCAATACATAATCCATTATCTATTAGATTAACCTTAGAAGGCTAGGCAAACAGAAGCTTTACACTAACAGTAACTGCTGAGGAACTAGGGGAATTGGGGGATGCTTACTGGGTTGCAAAAGCGATTGATATTATAAAATTATTATTATTCCTGCATGATACTGAAAACAGATTAGTAAGGAATTGTCTCAAAACTGATGACTTTGGGCCCTTGAATAGACAGAGTCTCAGTGAATTCCTTGGTAACCTCAGTGTCCTTATCAGTATGAAGCAGTTGACAAGAAGAATCTGTCTACTCTGTAGTGCACATATATACACTTAGCTGCACTTAAATCTTCATTTAATCTGGGCTGGCGAAGAGTTCTGTACCAATGAACGGTTTTCTTATCATTTTAAAATATGTTACATGAGTAATTAACTTGTTTCTTCTTGGTAACATGTCCATCATTGCATCATCTATTTATAATGAATCACACTTTAATTTTTCTTATTTATGGCTTTATCCTTATTGACAGTTATTCATTGTTCATTGCTTTGCTCTGCAGTCTCTGCTGATGAGACTAGAAAATGTTTCTGTCACCACAGGGAACAGGTAATTACCCTTTTGGGATTATATTTATGCAAAAAAAATTGGGGAGTTTTTACTCCTCAAATGAGTCAACAGAAAAATCTTTACAGGATGCAAGCGTAAAATATAGGTGAAACAGCCACTACGTCAAAAATATTATGGAAACAAGAGAAAAAAAGAAAAACCTTTCCAAGTCTGTAGCTAGAATATCTTTTTCCAAGCTTGATTTTTGTACCAAAAGCTGTTTATTATTGCAAGGGCTTTCCTTACAATGCAGATAGAAAATAAAAATTAAATGCAGAAAAGCTAAATTAAAATTAACCTTCTGCTCCAAATATATATCAATAAATTACTATGTCCCCCCAAACCAAGGTCATCTCAGGTTAAATGTGGTGATTAAAGAGGGCCTTGTCCTCAAGGCCTGGCCCGGCAGACGCAAGCTTATGCAATAAGAAGTTTGTCTCTGGCACACGAACATCTGCAAGCAGCTCCCTTTCTCTCTGCAGCCACTTCTCCCTCCCTCTAGCTCTCAGGGGTCTCCCTGGCCCTGCTAATTTTTTCCCTCAGCTGACAGTAAATTAATGAGTAAGAGGGTACTGTTTGTGGAGAAAATTGTGCTGCTAAGTATTTACAGTCTTTGTATGTTTCAATGTTTTTTGTTTTTTTAGTTATTAGAAACAGGGAGAAAAATTCTGGTAGAAAAACCAGTTTGGCTTTGGGTAGTGAAACCATATGGCAATTTAATATAATCAAACCTTAGTAATTAATTTTGCATTGTAATTGTGTTAAGTGACTCTAAGGTATCTAAGCAGCAGAGGTGGAAGAGGAAAAGTAAGAATTAGCAGTATTTTCGCAATTTTCTTTTTCAGAGGGTAGAAATAGTCATGGGATCTACCAGACTATGGGGAGATTGCTATTTTCTTCTCTTTTGAAAAAATATTTAGCAGAGGTGAAAGGCAACCACCCGGAGAATTGTAATCAGAAAGTTTCGCTCTTGTAGGGGTTAAAATATAAGTGTAATAGGCTTAAATATTGGGAAAATAGAATTTAAACACCAGGCACTTCCTGCCTACAGCATAAGCAAACAGGCTGAAAGATGGTGGGACTGAAAGCTAGTAGGTACTCTGGCCAAATTCTATATTCAACAGGAAAATCCCCACATTTGACTAGACTCAAGAGAAAAAAAAATACACAGTTAACTATGAATTTTTACTAGCACATTATGTTCTTTTCCATCCTTCTCTTTTCAATTAGATATTTTTAATAGTTAATTATGGCTATAAGTTATATAATTATATTTTCTTAATAGGGTTTAAAGTGTTTAAGGTACTTTTCTGGTTCTTTAGACTTGGTATCTTCCTGGTGTATTATAATTTGAATATGTACTTTAACTTTATTTTATCTTATTTTTAGAGACAAGCTCTTTCCATCTGTGGCCCAGACTGGAGTGCAGTGGCTTGATCATAGCTCATTGAAGCCTCAAACTCCTGGGCTCAAGAGATCCTCTTGCCTCAGCCTCCCAAATTGTTAAAACTACAGGCACACAGCACTGTGCCCAGCTTATTTTTTATTTTTTTGTAGAGATGGAGTTTGGGGAGGGGGCTGGCAATCTCACTATGTTGATCTCGACTTCTGGCCGCAAGTGATGCTCCTGCTTCAGCATCCTAAAGTGCTGGGATTACAGGCCTTAGGCACAGTGGCTGGCCTAATTTTATTTTTATCAAATCCTTGGAGCTGTAGGTTTAGCTCATTCACTTTATGGAAT